TACTTCATTTGTTAATTCGCGATCACTTGCTGGAACCGAAGGAGTGTCTAAAAACGGACCTTGGTTACCGACAGGTGATAAACACAAATAGGCCCAATCAACACATTGGTTTGTTTTGGTCAGTGCACTATATTGTTTAGTTGTTGTGTTGCTGTGTTTAGTGAAACATTTTGACTTTGGCTTTTGCTCATTTCGGATAGTTCAAGCGGGTAAGCGTTTTTAATTGTGTTTTTTTTTTACAAGACATCTTGGGCCAGAGATGAACCAAAACTTAACGTTGCCCTGTTCAAGCAGTTAATTTATCTTCCTTATCCACACGTTAAAAACCGCAGTGGACTTCAGTAAATCTAAAAGCAAAATGCAAAAAAAAACAACAACACGTGGATTTATCCCTACAGCTATTCATTTCATCAACTGTTTTGTAAAAAAGTGCAACATACTTCATTTTGTATCATAAACATTACACAAAACACACAGTACAGAGCGAAACCCAAGCACTTGCACGTTACTGGTGTTTTCCAAATAGTTACTGTACATGTTTGCGAGGGATCTCTGCGTGTGGTTAAACACACACCTTCGCTCGCTAGCGTGGTGCGCCTACAGAAACTGGTAACGGACACACGGCAACAGCAGGGCACTACAGGCGGCCAAACCCCGTGGTTACACCACAAACAACGAAAAGCAAACAATCTCAACGTCGCATTAACATCACCTATTACTGCTGTTGAGCTGTCCGAATTACAGTTTGTTTACATTAATTTCTCAACCAGTACCTGCGACAATGTTAGTTCAATGATACAAGCAGCGCCCAGAGGGAAATCTTAATGATCAAATGAGTAGAGTTAGCCTATTTTTTTTCTTCCTCTAAAAAAAGCATGCAATTCATCTTGTTTTGAACATTTGGGGAAACGGGGTTCTAACACTTCTGTTACACAAACATTGGAAAAACGCGATACGTGTCGTTGTTCCCGAATACAGAGCAATCGCTTTTGAGATGCCAGCTTGTTCATGCGGTTTTTTTTTTTTTTGTGGGTGCCGGATGAAAACCTTGCGCACTAACCAAGGTACTTGATCTCAAAGCCCCGGGGCGGTTTCAGAGACCTCCTCATCCAGCCTTCCCTCAGCACCTCCAGGTGGTCCTCTCGGCCCTGGATCAGCAGGACGTGCTCGTCAATCCAGCCCAGGAAAAAAGTCTCCGAGATCGCGTCGGTGACTTTCTTGTTCCAGAAATGCTGCATGTTCTCGGCTTTGAAGTCCGCGAAGATCTCGTAGCCCGTGTGGTGGTGCTGGAGTCTGTCCGTCACCGCGGGCGCGTCCTCGGCGCCGGCCCGGGACAGCACGATGGCCAAGGAGTGGGGAGCGATCTGCAGGAACCTCTCCATGTTCTGGCGCCTCACGGACATGGGGGCCCTCCGTGAAATTAAAAATCAATCCACTTCCCCGTCTGTTGCGGGAGACTTCTCGTGCAACGTTTTATTCCGTCCTTTGTTAAATTTCCAAAACGAACGCATGACGCCAAGAAGGAGTTCAGATAGGGCGACTTTATAAACACTGAAAGCAATACATTATGCCATGTGGGTTAGGTCATGTCCATTTTGGTCCACACGAATCCCTTCATTGTTTTTTTTCCCCCACCATAAACTGACCAAAATCTTTAACCAATCCCCGCAAAATCATCCAATAAAGTGTGATAATCTTCGGCCAACTACAGAGTATCCTTTAAATCCCCGGGCTACCGGCAGGCACTTCTCTTTGCTCACCTTCTCGCCGTGCAGCACGAACTGCGTAGCAGTGACCTACTTCTTGGGCATCGGTTCGCCGAGCGCTTTGTGCTTAAAAGCATGTCGTTTGGCATCTGGGGGAAAATGATTTTAGCCGGCGATGACTTCATCAAACCATGTGAAGGTCTGACTGCGGACTTCACCTCCTCCCCGGTTCAGCGCTCCGGCGTGGATGACAACATGCGCAGCGCCGAGCTGCAAGTGCTCCGAGCCGAATGGCATACTTTCGCGGGTGCTGGGTGGGTGTGTGGGAGGAGGGGGGTCAATTACCTGCCCACGCCTCCTCGTCCACCGCCGGGGCTGAAGGGTCCACCGCCGCACAAGCGGACGCCGAGCTGTTGCGCTGGCGCAGGTTCACCCAGCGAGCGAGACGCGCAGCCCGGCCGCCCGAGCAAACTCCACCTACAGGCAGCTGCAAACATCGCGAGCTCACAGCTGGCAACAGGTGAGAGGGAGACGACGGCTGTCCCTACCCTCGTCCTCTGCGGTGACACTTGCGGGGTTTAATTAACGACATTTCCCTTGTTTGGTTTTGTTTTTTTTAAATATATGTTTTGAGCAATCCAGCGAAACCGTTGCGGGGGGGAATGACTGCTCCGCTAGACTTTTTTTTTTTTACTTTTTGGATCCCAGTTATTTTTTTTTAAGATAGTCCCACTCCACCCCCCCCCCCCCCCCCCCGTTAAATTAAAAATTAAATTAAAATGCAGCTCGTTGCCATTGCTCATAAACAATAAAGTTGGGCTCAGATACTAATAAAGGCGTCAGGTGGATGCTGCACATTGGTGGTGATGGAGGGGATCCCCTTTACCTGTAAAGCGCTTTGAGTGGAGTGTCCAGAAAAGCGATATATAAGTGTAAGAAATTATTATTATTATTATTATTATTATTATTATTATTATTATTCAGAAGGCAGACTGGACTCTACTGTTCAGTGATAAGGTATGAGACGGGGGTGGGGGGTGTTATCGGCTGAATGGTCTCCCGACCTCCTGACCGACAGGACGGGACTAGGGGCGCGTTTGCAGACTTACACCCTTGGCTTTGCCAGCGATCTCCGAGCTCAAAGCCGTACCGACGACAGCCGCCTGTTCTTGCTCCTCGGCCGTTTTTTTATGAAAAAAGCTGGGGTTGGATATTTTGCTTCGGCTGTTCTCAGAATAACAGGCTGCACACAGGGGGCTACGCAAAAAAACAAAAACAAATGATTGCCAACTGTATCAAGACAATAAAACGGCAAAACATATTAAAAAGGCATTGATAATCGAGCAGGTAATAATGCAATCCATTCAGGAATATTTGGAAATAGTCGCATGATGATCCGAGCGCTCCACACTGTACCTGAGTTACAGGGATTTCAGTCAACCAGATCGTTCACACTGCCCACCAAGTTGAGGGTACATGCAGGAACATATTCTTGACATTTATTAATTCATCCATCTAAAGTTATAAGATTATATTTTTATTATAGTTTTTTTTTTTCCTGTATTCCTGTTGTTGTTATCTGGAATTCAGACAAGTTATTCAGCATGGAGAATGAAGTGCTGCTCAACAATAATGTTACTCTTTCTTATAGGATTAAAGTGTCCAGCAATTTGCTGCAGCTACCTCAGTTGAAAATTTGAGTTACAGTATAGGCCTTGTACACAGTGTGCATTCTATAAATGATTACCAAACTCTTTGCATGACCTAGGGCCTTCAGTGCATAGTTTCCCTATCTTATTTTACATAACTGAATGACAAATAATGAATGACTCTTAATACTGAGTATTTGTAGTTTCCCATAAAAAACTTTGTCAATCTTTTATAAAATCCAGTTTTCTTTTTTCATTGTTTTGTACTTTAAAGTTTGCCTCCTACCACCATTAATAAAGGAATGTGCGTTAACATATTCCTGTATCTCAACCAGTAGAGTTGAAAACTTCCTGAAATCTGGAAAACAAATATTTCAACGACATGCAAGCCTTTCACTGTTCAGAGACTGGCTGTGTAAATCCAGGTCTTTAGTGCAGTGCTTTCCAAAATGGGGTCCTTCTAAAAAGTCTCCCCAGATAACATTTGTAGAGTTTGCCACAGATAAGTTGAGTTTTTTCATGTGCTGTGCTGAATCAACATAATCATCCTAGAAATAATTTTGTATTTCGCAACTGGAGTGAATGGACAGGTTCAACGTGAACCTGTTGCTTTCACAACTATTACAGGTACATTGCCCTCTGTTCAGACAGGAGGTAAAGTATCTCTTAGACCATAGCTTGTTCATGCCCACTTTAGTGTCAATGATTTGAAGTGTGCAAATAATGTTGTGCATTATGGTGCATGTTCAAATTCTGAACTATACCACTGATTCGTTCGTATGTGATAATAGGGGAACACTACTGCTCTTCTGATCACTATGTCAGTGTCCCTTCGCTACAGCCTCTGGGAAATTTTAAAGTTAAGAAAAAAGGCCTATCAATGATTTACACCCTCTTTAGTGTAAACTCTTTAGTTCACTGCCATCCATCACATTATACTGCAAACCTGCCCTTGAAATATACAGAAGACTCAGTTACCGAAACATTTTTTTATTTTGAAAATAAAAATGTTAAAAGGACGCAAGATACGCGGCACTCCAAAAGTTGACTGTTGCGCATATTTTAAAAATCAGTGGACATTCTTGTCTTGCAAACTTAACTGCACCTTCAGATAGAATCAATTATACAGAACTGTAGAAATTACAGATGCAGTGAAATATATTTTGTAAAAAAAGTACATTTGGTACTTAGTAGTTAATGGATCCAAGCATCTCATTCAGTGATTTAAAAAAAGAGCCAATGATCAGTTTTGATACCATAGGTAGTTTGATCCTGTCTTCCACAGCCCATGGGGTAAGGAATGTCCTTCTGTTCTTGGTTATATAGAAATGTACTTCCACATCTTCTCTGGACTGAATCGACAGCATCCGTATCTTTTGTAAAGTATAAAGTTCCAACATTTACTTACAAGAATCTATAAAGGGGAGTGGTGGCTCTGTGGCTAAGGATCCCGTGGCCGGCAGAGGACTCCTACTCCGTTGGGCCCCTGAGCAAGGCTCTTAACCCTAACTGCTCCAGGGGTGCTGTACACTGCTGTGCTCTGACCCCAAGCTTCTCTTCCTGTCTGTGTCTCCATGGAGAAAAGCTGGGGTATGCGAAAAGATGAATTCCTAATGCAAGAAATTGTATAAGGCTAATAAAGAAACATTATTATTAAAATATTTAGAGATAATTGTCACTTCAAAGAGTTAAATTTGTGGTGAAATACAACTCTGAAGTAAACTTTATTCAAGATAAGTCCTAAGAAATCATCTAAAAGTGCGTTATAATATGTAAAAAGCCCACAAAGTAAAGTTAAAAAGTAAAAACCGTAAAGTACAAAGTAAAAAACAAAGTAAGGAAGAAATGATAAATCAGGAACAGATGCGGAGGTTTTGTGAAGGGGAAAGTGTGATGGCACACTAGCCACAACGCTAAGGAGCTCTGAACACATACAGGTTTTACTGTACAGTATATATATGTTGGCAGGAACCCATTAAACAGACATCAGGCTATCACAAATGAGACAGGAAAAGGCTTGTGTCAGCCAAACATTTATAGCTGAAATACTGTACATTCAATAAAAATAGATTCTCATCCTCCTGCTCTCCAGTTCTTTAATATTGTATACTTTCTCACTGTGATCTGGTCCTCATTCGAGAAATGTTATTTTTTCCCAAATTCTTACACTGAAACATTTTGAAATTTTGACAGAGCCTGAGTAAGAGATCTATATTTATAATGCAACACGGTTCAGCTATTAGTCACACGTTTTTTGAAAGCACAAACTATAAAATGCCAGTTTAAATGCAAAAAAGTCAAGTCGCATATGACTTATTGTACAAATGCTGTTGATGTAATGAAATAAGTTATCAGCATTATTTACTCACTTTTTGACTGATGTGAATATCGACAGCCTTCACAAAAAATCATGCCAACACTGAACATGTGGGAACCAGGGAACATGTGTGTCTAAGCTCCACAGGAAAATCAGATGGCATTTACACAATACACACCAAAACACTACTTAGTTTTTCATGTTAAAATCCAGAAATATACGCAGAGGGACTTTTTATATCTGGAGAACGTAGGCCTCACTTGACTTCAACATTAACCTAGAAGCACGCAGCCTGTGCTGGGGTTTTAAATGTAGTGATGGGGACAAATTCCCCCTGTTCAGCCAGCTTGTGTGCTGCCTCCTGGGAGCCTCAGATCACAATCTGCTAGTGTTGTGGCCTGAATTCTTACTGCCTGCCTTCAGGCTAAAAGATGCATCCTTTGCTCCAGACCGTTAGAAACCCCATACCAAGAATTTACCATCATGTAATGAATTAAAACACAAATGTGTCCATCACCGATCTTTAGCTATAGTAGATCAGGCTAATTGCAAGAAGAAAAGAATATCAATGGATTTCAAGTAAATGGAGTTATTCAGGTAAGAAAGGATGTGATTCTTAGACAACTAGTATTTGAATGGTTTAAATAGTTTAACAGCTAGTTGACTGTAAAGAATTCATCTGAGCTGAAGCTCTTTTGTGGTTTATTTTATATGAATCTTTTAAAACGAGGCCAGAAGTTGGGTCTCTTCTGCTGCAGCAGCTGTAAAACAAACAGATTAATCAATGAATAAATTAAATATTAGGGTTCACACATGCAAATTATAATATACTCAATGATTGATTGGCAAACAAAAAGTTATCAGATCTTCGTAACACTCCTAACAGCATGAACAAGGTTTTAACACATATCATATCCTATTACTGATCAATGTAGCACAAACTGAATTTCTGCACAATGTTAATAAGGAATCTAAAGATACATATTAGTGTTCATACTAACCCTATTGAATATCCAAGGATGTTTTTTTAATATGCTTTAGAATTGAGAATTTACAGTACATTGATGATTAATAGAACATCTACAGTATGAAACCTATACAGCAATAACTAAAGCAGATCCCCTAGTTTTATTCTGTGGTGTTGGTGTTCCTTGGTTATACAAGATAGAGTGAAAAACAATTTCTCTGTGATGTATGTACCCTGAAGAAGATAATAAAATATGCTGTAATATAGAACAACAAGGACTACGAGTTCCAATCTATGATTTGTGTTAGATTATAATGGAAATCAATATTTCAATATTGGTCTTTTTCAGTATTTCCTGTGCTTCACAATATCTCATGATTAAGTTAAATGCACAGTAAATACACATGGAGAAAAGACATAACTACTGTAATAGCCTGCAGACAGCAACAGCAAGGATAACAACCATTCGTTCATGTCGGGTTCAATACAGGCTGATTTTTGCCCAGTTCACCAATCCATTCACTATTACTAATTGAGGATAGTTCTCTTTTTACACACATCGCAATAGACAGGAAATTTCTAAACATTAATGCACAGATACAACAAATAGATGTTTTGTAAATACTGGATATTTGATATACATTTCTTTGATGAATGCTCATTAAACCCATAAAAGTGAAAGTCTTTCTCATTTTGACTATTCTATCTTTAATATTGCATTGGAATAGTAAATATCACTAACGCAAAAAATAACAAGGCTTTTATCTCGGATTGATCCGAAAGGACAATCATTCTTTATGCTTTCACCGTGATGGGGTTCGGTCACTGAGCATAATGTCCCAGGTGAGAATCTGTCCCAAACTTTTCTTTGGATCTACTTCAACCCAGACATGTTTAGTGGATGCTCATGATCCACTTAACGGAGTAAAAGAGCCTCGTGAAAACATAGGGTTATTTCAGATATCCATTGTCTGGGCCTTGTTTGCAAATTGGTTGCTTGAATGAATACATTTAAGAAATCAATCTTGTGTCCGACTGTTCTTCCTCACCATCACGTGTATGCAGCTCATTCTTCTACAAAGAGATGGCTGTTCCTGTATGTGAAGCGAAGCTGAGATTGCAGATGATTTACTTTATCTTTGATTCCCTACTATGGGGTGTTTCTGTTCTGAATGAATTGCTCTCCCGCTGCCCCTAGCATGAGCTGTTGGGCTTCTCCACACTGCTATGAACGTTGCCATCCAACAGGCCAGTGAAGTGCTGTCTTTCCCCTTTTGGGGTCTTTATTAGCTGGGACTTGTGCCTGAAGACAGATTTGTCAGCCAGTATTAATATTTCTCTTAACCACCAGCTACAATCCGAGCTTTGGTCTTGGATGCATGTAAGGTGATCCTGTCAGAGTTACAATAGTAAAATGCTAGAGATCATAAGAAAGCAATAACACATTGAGTCTTCAGAGTTTGTGAGGACTAGATGTGTTCTTCACTGGCAGGCACAGCTTTGAAGTGAAACGGAATAAACAGTTCTTTATGTTAACGGTACACAGTACAACACAGAAAAGCTCCCATGATTTTAAATTGAGTGCTATGAATAGACTCTTCTCACAATGGGGCTATGTGAAATTGAAAACTGAGAGTGTGGCTAGGCAGGCAGGAGCACTTTGGTGTAAACTCTTACATATATGACTAGTCCTGGAAGACAGGTTTTTAGAAATGTTGTGGAGAGCTGATAAAAGAAATATGCCAGGTATATTTTTAAGTGAAAGGCAAGCAGATGTTAAGTTGTGAAAAACAGTGACGCCATTTGGGTTAAACAGTCTTGGAAATGGCTGAATAGGTCATTGCGTAAAAAGCAGACACACTGCGGACAGGACAGCAGTCCATCACAGGGCACAAGACAGGACCACACCCTGGACAGGACACCAATCCATCACAGGACACAGGTCAGGACACATCCCGGACAGGACACCAGTCCATCACAGGACACAGGTCAGGACACACCCCGGACAGGACACCAGTCCATCACATGACACAAGACAGGACACACCCCGGACAGGACACAAGACAGAACCACACTGCGGACAGGACACCGGTCCATCACAGGACACAAGACAGGACCACAAACTAGACGAGACTCCCGTCTTGACTGAAGGCAAGCTCACTTGCAAGCAAACATCTTAACCGGCTCAGTGAACTCAGAACCATGCTGAGTGTAACCTTGTAATCTCCACCGTAACCTTGTGCTTATCCCAATGGAAATTTCCAGAAAACTACGTGTGTTGGCTGGCATGGTTGGTTTGAATCAGGGTGATTATAAAGCAGGTAAGATTTCACTTCCTAAAACAAATTACAAACTGGCTGTAATACATGTGATGCAGGTTACAAATGGGAGGAGCCAATCTGCCATGTCTCTAAGCCGGTTGCCAATAAGTCACTGAGAGAAGTGCCAGCTCAACCTGTCTCTTCAGAACTACCTCAGTGAATGGGCTCCTGCAATGCCACATGGTCACTGGTTGCACGCGCGTTTCATTTTACATTGAAGATGTTCCTGTTCTCCACTTCTCCACGTCTACTACACATATACTCGATCTCTTCCTTCCTCGCTCACGCCAGCTCGAAACGCGAGGTCCAGTTCGGTGTTCTCTAGGATCTCGGAGTGGCAGGTGAGGGAAGATAACTAGCGGCATCCAGGCGAGTGCTGGCGACGGTGTGTAATACTGGACTGGCATATAAACGGTCTGCCGGCGTCCGCTGCACTCCATGAAGGGCTGCTTGCGCTGGATGGCATATGGTGTCACAAGCAAAGCAGCTGGTGCAATGTCAGGACGATGCTGCAGGAAAGCTGCTCGGCCAAATCCTTCACCACAGATTCAGAAAGATCCCAGAAGTTCGGAAAGTGTAAGGTTGTAAGGCTTTGCAAAAGCTCTTATTTAATTTGCCCCGTAAGCAACATTAATGAGGGCAGGCAACAAAGCACTCCTTGCACTGAATTACCTTCCTACGTATTTTCTCTATTCTGGTGGTGGAGCCCTTGCGGTATGCAATTACAGGGCCAAGAAGGGACTCCCAGACAGCTTGAACGAAGAGCCACTGCGCCGTTTGTGGAATTATCATTTCAATCTTGAACAGATGTCAAGTATTAAAAATGTTTCAGACCTTCTGGAAAACAGCTTCTTTGGAATATATTATGGCAAAATAGGAGTGGCTTTGCAGGTTTTTTTCTTTATGTCTAAGTTCCCTTATCTAATAAAACACTTATCCAGAATAAATCACTCAAAGCAAAGATTATGCTGGCGGTATTCTCACGTGTCAGGCAGGGCAGGTATCTGCCTGCTCCGAGGTGGAGACAGTGATATTGAGGACAAAAGGAATTAAAGTACAGAACAGCGACTGGAGAAGGACAGGGACAGGATATATGATGCCTTCCAGGTACTAACACACCCAGCTCTTAGCTTGCTAGATCTATTGTCTCACATGTTTGACGAATGCAACTTTAGGGAACCCAGGATGAAAGTGATGAACACCAATCTTACAGATGGCTAATGAGACACTTTGACCTGGTGGCTTTTTAGCCTCCTGTCCTGCTTTCCTGCATCATTCAAAAGCCAAAACAAGGCAAGGGAGACCATGCAGAACAACCCAAGGAAGGCAGGCTTTTAAGTGAACAGGACAGGATGCATGATGATGGAATTGTGTGAAAGACAGATGTCAAACAAACACTTTGCTATCAGTGGAGATGGTAACCCATGTGTGAGTATCCCTTCTAGCAAAGTCTGAAGACAACATGTTGCCACAGGTCTTTAAGAAAACAGTGCTGGTACAAAATCAATATTAAGATTTCAGGATAATGTCAAATGACATTGACATGTTTCCAAGAAACTGCAAAGTGTTGCAAATTGTAACATAGAAATCAATTGTCATGATACAATAGGTGTTAATTTACAGTACCAGTAATCTGGAAAGCACAAGGGTTAGGGTTAGGTTCAGAGGTAGCTGATAAAAACCTGGTGAACTACATAATGCAGAAGGCATCTTTGTGTTGTGCACAAGTGATAAAAACAATCAAATTTAACTGAAATAGCTTAATAATCTTTTAAACATTTTCCTTTTTCAGACCTTTGTCCAAGCTTCACTAAGACATCAGAACAGAATGAATTTCTACAGCCACCAATGAGACACAAGAGGCAGCCTTAAGTCATCTGAGGGGGAATTGTCGGGTTGGAAAATCTTTTTTTTTCTGAAGGCAATCCTAAAAGTTTCAATATGTGAGATTATTAAGGAAGAATGCTCATATGAAATAACTGCTCAAAGGTACATCTCGGAAATGTAGCTTCGGACTATTTGAAGGAATAGTCAACTTTAAACTTTTAGAAAATCTTTGTAAAGGGTTCTGGGAGAGTATTATGAAACAGACCAGACAATCTTCTGCACTTGAGTGAGGTCCTCTGGGAGATCGGTGCCTCTTGTTTCGGGCAGCAGAAGACTCAGAAGGCCCGCGGAGACTGTAAGGATTCCCATCAATATATATGGCAGGACTTGGTTATATGCTCCTAAAAAACACAAGCAGTAAAGAATCATTTAAATGCATACATAATGCAGTTCTTCAAAATGCATACAATTTATTGAAACACTGTTTTTGTCTATATTTTCTAAACAAGACATTAATTTAGTCTCAGACTAAAAGAATAAAGAGTCTCAACCACCTTTGCTGATACTTCAGAAAATCAGCCGTGTCTTTGCAGTGTGTCTCTTCAATGATATTTATGTTTTTTTTTATTGCAAAGAAAGGGCCAATAACACAGAAACACTGAACACTGCAATGAGAATAAACAGCAAGATTTGCAGACAAAAAAAGTAAATTTTAGGCCGGTGCAGTTTTAAAAATATAACATCTCAAGTACACTCAGTTTTAATGTTTAAAAATGAATCAGTCATCCAGCCTCTCACTGTGAAATGAAACAGATAAATTACCTTTGAAAGAAACACATGATTATCTACTAACATCTTATCTTCTTTCCTTGACACTGTTTGAACTATGTCATTCTTTGCCACAAACCACTGGGGTAAAACCAAGGACAAATAGTAAGCACTCTTTTATGGTGGTTAAAAAGGTCTCGTGTTACAGACCAGCTAAGTTAGGAACTTTGATGTGAAAAGACAAAGCCGACATGTTGTAACTCACATGTCCTGCATGTCTTATCTAAAAAATAACGGATATTTAATACCTTGAAGGTGAATTCATCTGAATGCCAAGTACCCTGTTACATTTTATCCTTTTTTTTCCACTGAGTACACCACTGTCACGCTCCAAATAATTTATTTTGGAAACAATAAAGGTAAATACTGGCTTTAGAAGGAACTTTACACAAGACTTTGAGAAAACAAAATTTTAATATACAGTATAAACACATACCACATTGTCATATTCAAGGAAGGAGTATATTGTACTTATTTAAGGTATTTACTGTACCTTGAACTGAAGTTCTTGTTTGTATTGCCAGCATTTATGCGTTTCATTATTGTATCACAGTTTTGTCATGAAAAAGATAGATTATATATGCCAGAAAATTGAGTGAGAAGGCTTGTCACCACTCCCTGATCTGAGTCACATATAAAAAGAAAAACAAGTCCCTGATGTATGTCTAGCTGAAAGTGTGAACATGAATGGTTGATTAATAAAAAAAAACATTTGACTTTTTCTTACTCATAAGGTTACAACAATGACAATTCAGTTTAACAGTCAAATCATTAAAATTCCTGATATGAAATGGCAGGTATCAATTCCAGCACAAACACTTGAATGCACCTGTAAATTATTTTGTTGCAGTAAGTCAAGCTGAAACCATGCACACAAGCCTTCACTGCACACCGGTCAGGAAAACCCTGCGGAGCTACAGTACTAGTTCAGACAGAAGTGCACACACTGTATTAGGCAGGAGTGTGGGATCTGGGCCTGATGATTGTACCGAGAGTCGAACATTGCAGATGTCACCTAAGGCTCTTCACTCCTGTTCTTCTAGTATATACCTGGCCCTCTATACCTGGTCTCTAGGTTGTCATTGTAAAAGAGAACTTGTTCTCAAATGCTCTATCTCGTAAAATTAAGGGATAGACTTTTATTGCACTCCCTAGAAACTGAGTAACTGTAGCCCTACCTGAGCACCTAAACAATTTCAAAAGGTTTGAATCGGAATCAGACATGTTTCAGTCACAAAGTATAAATACATTTATATCCGTGCTCCTCCACCCAGGCATAAATCTCGTGTGTCAAGGGAGGTTTAAATATTTTGTAATAGCTGCTTCCATTTTAATTATACCGTATACAGGAAAATGTCTTCGACTGGCCAAGTACTTACAAGTTGTTGCCTATAGCTCTGTCAATAGTCAATTTCACCCAAATATTTCCGGTCATCTGTTACTTGTGTATCCTGTTTGATGCATGCTTATCGTCAGGTACTATCCATTACAAATCTGGCAAGCACCACAAATCTCTGTAGATAGCACCACAAGTCTGGAATTGCACCCAGAGCCCCAGCACTGTGAGACAGCAATGCTAAACGCTGAGCCACTGTGCCTCTCCCATCCAATATACAATATACCATATGAGTGGTATATACTGTATATCATTATATTTACTATATATACGGATCACTACATAGTTGGAGTAGAATACCTCCCACTGACTGGGCCTAAAGCCAAATCACTCTCATAATTTATGGTTCTGATTTGTACTCGTACTCAGTGTTGATTTGATGCATCAGCTTAGCCCTGCCTTGGCGACTGAAATGGACCAGGAATCTTCCTCCGATTTCGCAGACGTACATGAAAAAGAGAACCATGCACTGACGCTTTTGACTTTGCCACAACAGCCGGCTGAGAGGTGCAGAAGTTAATCTTCGCTGTCAGGAGGAGTGAGGAATTCGTCTCTAAGGGCTCTACACTCCTCCGCCGGCCGAGGAATTAAAACAATTCAAGACCTCCTACTCCCCTCACACAGTGTCGTTTGCCGGACTGGACTGAAATACTCGGAATTCCTCGGCGGCGGAGCTCCCAGTTTAATGCTCCCCAGGTGAGCAGGGAGCTGGCACTTACCCATGTAGGCGAAAAAGGGAGAGATCATGCTGCCGATCTTGGATGCCATGGAACAGATTCCCACTCCCATGCTCCGCACTACCGTGGGAAAGAGCTCCACCGCCGACACATAGATCACCGAAAACGCCGCCGTGATCCCAAATTTCCCAACCATTGCCAGGACACTGGCGAGAATGCCGAGATCTGGGGAAAAACACATCCACGGACTGCTTACATCGCACGTCCTGAAGTGAGCGAGCACTCCATCACGCTGAAAATCATTGCGTTGTCAAGAGAGAATGATTGTACTGCCTAACACTTCTGACTTAAAGATCTTAAAAGAATCTTGACACAGAAGAAGAAGAACGCTGAAATTTCGGTGTGATATTTCACTTGTTGAGTTGTAAACTGACACAACTTTAGACGTGTGTGTTTAAACACAGTCTGGGCAGCGCTATTTTCCAGTACTTCCCCAAAAAATTTGTATCAGAAATGAATATGGAATAAAGTACTGAATGAACGGCTAAGAAACACCCCTTTCTTCATAACTCCTTTTCTGTTTTTTTAAAAGGAGGCTTTTCCCCTCAGAATTAGAAAAATACGGACCTTTGTAATAATTATTTTATCGCTGTTACCTTTTTTTAATAGACATACATCTCATACTGCATAGTTATTGCTAAACATTTTAACCCACTGTTAGCTGCCCTGACAGAAACCCCCAGCTGGAGCGCGAGATTAGACATGACTATCCACCATTTCCAGCCCTGTAATTCAACACACACCACGCACATGCGATTGTCAAGACCCACATCAGATCTTAGCTGAGGGAGGTCGGAGAGAAGAAATAAATGTCACATCCCCATAGGCTAAGCCACCACTTGAAGCCTCCTGCGCAAATCCAGATCAAGCCCCGAGCGAGGAGGGGCTGTTAACGTTCCTGTGCAGGCCACACCCGTACGCTCGACAGCTGCATTTCGTTTGTAGGATCTGTGGGGCTGGAGAGGTTCAGTGACACACGGAGACCAAGTAAAACCTTACTGGAGGGAACCAGCTGGATGAGCAGGAGTAAGGTGCCACCGGACAGAAGAGTACTTGAAATGATCGTGCGTCGTGGGGCGACCCTTAGCAACAGCCAGGCTGCGACGTAGGCCACAATCTCCATGGCTGCGGAGGCAAAGCAGTTGATGTAGGGATCCCCATTCATATTGGGGGTGTTCAACGACAGCCCAAAGTAGCTGATTGTTATGACAAACCTGAAAATGGACAAAAACAGGATTCTTTCAAAAGATCCTGTATTTTCTTTAACAATATCAAAATTGCATCTTCAATAAAACCGATAAGGATTCAAAACAGGCATTCAAACTTAATATACAGTTACTGCAAGGAACCTTCTTTTAAACGTATGAGATTCTTTGACTGAAATACCAAAGATCATTGGGAAACATGCCGCTTGAAAGAGACTAAAACTCATCGTCATAACTCTTTCATAAACCCCCTACACACTACGATAAAACAACAGGCACAAAATCCAAATAGAAAAGAATATTTCACATGAATTCACTAGGACTACCATTACTGAGCTGCACCTACACTGACAGGATATTCATTTCTCAGCTTAAGCTCCAGAGGGGCTGCTGGGAACAGACTAATTGCTGCTGTACACGTGTGGCTGCATGCATGCCTGATGTCTTTGTGTGGTTGTTCCCTCCTGTAGTTGACCTCTCCGTTTAGATTTCTCTCTGGGTCAGTATTTGTAATTCTGTCAGCACCAGAACCACCAGTCACTCCAAACACTGCACCGGACTGGAGGTGAGCGCCCGTGTGGGAGAGAGTTGGGGGTGGGGCTACTGATACTCTGCTCTGTACAGTGGCAGTATCGTAGCCTGTGAGGTTTGGCCGAGGCAGGATTATTGCTAGCTGAAAACTTTCTCTTCATATCCTCTTGTATCGTTTCGTTACACTGTGCTGTGTTGACTGTGCTAAGCTGCTGTTGCACCTCACGGGATCAAGAAAGTATCTATCTCCAGTCTAAGTCTTTTGCCTTTTACCAGTAAAGCAGAGGAAAGTGCTCCACCTTGTGGTCATCCAAGGCAGTGTCTTTTCCTACTCGGCAAAAATTCCGTAACAGATAATTAACCCCATGGCACTTTTAAGTGCTATTATAGAAACATCTTCGTTGTGTCATCCTTCATTCTCATCTACCTTCATGAATATTCGTGTGCCATGTCATTTGCACAAGTGTTTCTAAATGTTGTTGTAATGTCGTGTTGTGTTTATGTAAGAGTTATGACAGGGTTTCTCAGTCTCATTCAAGTAAAGTGTTACTATTAATTGTTTCATAGTCACACGGCCATCAGAGAAGAGCCTTCCCTCAACTGTGAGATGTGCTACAATGACACTGCAGATTCTTGAATGTTTCTTTTTACTACTTTCTTGATAACAGCTGTTATAGTAATGATTCATTTAGATGTTGGTTCAGGATGAGTTTAAAAACTCTCTAGCAGCATTTGTTTGGGGAAAAACAAAACCGTTAAATACAAAAATCACACAGAACCGACATGCTAACAATAACGTATATGCCTGCTGTTCAAGAAAAATACACAGTTAAACATCGGTGGCTTTATAAAAAACATGGAAAATTAGAAACATTTCCCCCTAAAAATGATAGCACATAAAGTGCATTTTTAAAAATCTTATGATCATGTTTTATTTGATCCAAAAATGATGTATATATTAAGTCATCTGAAACAGACTTGACTTACCAGATCAGGATATTGAGAATGGTTATATTCCTCATGTCAGTTGTTTTAACGAGATCAAAGTACGTATATGAGTGCTGGTTCACCTCTGTGTCATTCTGTCGCTAGAAATTAAGATTTTAAGAAATGTGTATTACAATTACTACATTATTCTAAACCCAGAATATAAATGAAATGACATTTGGCCGACATGTGACAACAGACTTTGGGATCTGCTTGCCGTGATTCCCATACAAAAACATGACTCCAACAGGATTTGAAGAAGGTTGTGGTTTTAGTTCTTTTGCATGATGATGAGTGTTTAGAGCTACCAGTGAGGCCGTGTGCTCTTACACACCCCTTTCTTTCCACCCCTGCAGAAAAGATTTCCTCCCAATTGCAAGTTTTCTTCTACCCCGAAACAAGGACTTAATGAAAGAGATCTTCTAACTTCTACTCAAGGATACCCAAATCCAGGAAAGGTCACACTGTATGGAGCTTCAGCTCTGAGGAAAGAGTGCCCTCTGCTGAAACTGTACCCCTACAACACATGACATAGCTCAACCCACTCTTGCCTAAATGAGACTGTTTTCTCTTGCTGTGGCAGTACAGTACGCTGTCGCACAATTCACCAAAACCTATGATCGTGATAATAACAATAAGAACAACAACAACAACAACAACAACAAGAATAATTAAAAATGATGATAAGAATAATAATTGTTGCCAGGTTAGCCTTAACCATGTCCCAACTATGCCCTGTGCTCAGCAGTTATTTAAAAAAATAACTAATGCAGGGTTTTAATATAATTTATATTTAGTTTAAACAGTTACCAATATACAACACATGATCATGCCAGTTTTAGATAGATGACCAGAGTCTGTAACTCTTTTGGATGTAACAGCCTAATTAGTTACTCTTTACTATCCATGGAGGGGGTAATCAGAGAAATAATCAGGTAACTAGCTATTTAAAAGAGGACACAAACATCTGTGTGATGTGGAGCAGCAGTTTGCTCACAGTTCCCTTCACTTCTTGCAGTTCCCTTACTTCATAGTCATGGCTACATTTTCACTTTTTCCCATGCAAGCACCGAGTGTCAAAATACATTTTCACTATGCATTCATCTTTGAAGACAAAGGATAACAAATGTGCACATTGATTAATTGTCTTTGGTGTCATTTCGATGAACTGGTCATGCGCGACTGACCACGATAGCTTTGACTTTGGGTAGCACGAGCAGTCAATCGCCGTGTCAAACCTGGTGACGGCCGCAGGTGAAAAACACAGAAAGGGACGAGGGTGCCTCGCTCATCAAGTCATCGATCCCTTCGCGCCTTCGGCATGCCGGAGGCTGGACTAAATCGCCTCGGGTGCAGTCGCCCACAGAGGAGACCCCTCTGATGGGCGAAGGGTCCCTAGATGAGAGGGTCCCAGTGTGCTGGTCTGGGCAGGGGTGTCTAATCCATACAGAGCTCCGCTTGTAGCCATTGGTGGCGATCGGCCTAGAAGTGTCACGCCCTCTGCAGCCAGAGGGCGCTCCTTCTCTGTCCTGTCCCTAGTTTCCGGTCTGCTGTCCTTCCTGTCCCACTCTTTCCCTTGGGCTATATATTTCCGGGTCTTGCACTCGGTCCTCGCTCAGCATTGACGTTCGGATGTCCTGAGACCCGCCTAGCACCAGGGCGCCCCATGTCCGCTCCCTGAGGGCATAGGTTTCTATACGGCTTTCCTGAACTCTTTGCACTATGAGCCCGGGCCTTTTTCCCGTCTCGCCGCTACGCATATGGGTCTTTTTCCGCTCTCCTACTCCGCACGGTTAGTCCCTTTGGACGTCCGTGACAAGAAGGTGCTACTCTGATCCCGGTCAGCCCTGAGACCTCACGTCCTGCCCCTCCTGGCCCCACAGGATGGCCTGTACGGCCTGGAGCTGCTCATGTAACAGCAGCCCTGGGAGAGGGGAGTATGGCGGGTGTGGACAGGGTCTCTGTGAGCTTTGCACACACTTTCCCTCCTGACGCTGCAGTGTTTTATTAGGTGGCATACAGAGCTGCTCTGAACTGGAACGGGAGAACGCTGGACACAAGGGCCACTATGTAATTCTACACTGGGTTATGTATGAAACTAAGTAACCAATTGCGGTAAAAAGAAGTTATGGTTGGCAAAGAGGGAAGAGGAAGATGAACGTGATCCCGGAATGCTGCCAATCTGATCAGCACAGGAAAGCGTGAGAGATAACAGAACAATTTTTAAGGACTGTTCTAGTTAAATCGCTTGGAGGAAAATGCACCGAGCATGTCTGTGTGTTTTGCTCCCATGTGCATGAAATAATAACTTCTTTTAACTTCTGAGACGGACTCCTCACTGTCTTTTACAGGGAAGCAGGAAAATTTCTCCAACAAGGGTATGCCACAGACGCTGCCCTGCTCTCTGGGCTTGAACCCCATTGAACAGCTGTGGAGGAGCTGGGAGGACAAGTGGCATCGAAGGCTCTCTGAGCAGAACGGGACAGAATCTGCAACCTTTTACTTCCAGTGGTGGTGAACCCCCTGTCGATCAGTCCTGTCGATAATGTTAACTGGCACAACGAATAGACCTGTATCACAACATAGTCATTTTCACAGTAATGACATTGTGACTTTGCTACAGTTCATTACCAGGTTTCTTTTGATGCTCAGTCTACGTAGAGTTAAAGATCATTTTTACATGAGTACCTTTTCATCTTTTGATTTCGTTTAAAAAAAATTCAATTAAACTTTCACTTGTAAGATGTTGGATGGCAAATTTTAATCCTACTGAGTGCGCGTTAAAGCACGGCCTCTCGCAATCTGTGCCCTGCATTTTTCATCCGAGCTCAACTGGCTTCAGCTAACTGGGTAACATGTCTGGGAACATTTTTGTGTCATGGAAGTTTCACAGTCTGTGGGTAACAAGGATAAGTGTAATTGTACACCACATTCCTCTGTGTGGTGTAACACAATTAAACAGCAAAAAGAAATAACGCACTTAAGACAGATCTGCAGCACTACATACCCAAAGTCCACTATAAAGAACGTTGGACATTTACAGTCCCTCACATGTCCCCCTAGTGACCACGCTTCTGAATGCAACAGGCATTAATTACCATGAGTCTGATGGAGTCCTCCGCCTTAAATATAACCTCCGGAGGCGTGACGCTGTTTTTCTTGGCAGCGGATCGGATGATGGCTTCTGCTTCCTTAATCCGGCCCTGAGCCAGCAGCCATCTTGGAGATTCCGGAATGAGCCTGTGGGCCAAACAGCCAAACGGGACATAAATGGGAAACGGTTCACCACTTGGTTTAATTTTTAACAAAAACTTTTTTTTTTTAATGTAGCAAGATTAGTACAGGTCCGACTGAGAGAATAATGCTGAGACACATAAAAAACGGACACAAAACATACCGTATGTATGCAGCTGAACTAAAAAAAAAATCATTCAAAATAATGCATGACCATCTGAAATGCAATTACAAATACTGATTCTGAAAGCAGTCGTTCACTAAATCTGCTCTGGCTTGCTGATGCATAAACCTTTCAAAAGCCTGCCCCGACGCCTGTACCCACAAAAAATAAGTCATCATTAAAGACAATGCTGTTGGTTGCTGTTGATATTGTTTGGAAATACACGTTTTTGGTAGCCCTTTCAATGCCTCGATTCAATACCGAGGATGGCGAAACCGCGAGTCTCGTAGCTCAGCCTCAGCAACTGCCGAAGACTCTTTTTGTATTTGTTTGATCATTGGTATAAGGCGCTTAGGAGGTGGATACTATCCAATACCTGATAACACAAGAGATACAGAAAAAGCCCAACAAGTTTTGCATCTGCATTACATGAGTAAAGATTTGGTATTTTTTTGGCTTACAACCCGATTTGGCGGAGGCTTAGGAAACGCAGGAAAGGGCTGCCTGAGCAAAGCATGCTGGGAAGGAATCCCGTCATTGGCGAGAGCTGGGGTGCGCTGCAGACACCGCTCAGGGAGAGGGAGGGCCTGCTGCACTCACCACCAGAGCGGTATGTAGAGAAATCCAGGCAGGGCGAGGGCGAAGAGGAGGGCCTTCCAGCTCCTGATGAAGTACGCACACAGGGGCAGAATGGCGTACCCCAGCCCATAGAACACACACACCCCGACAGTGGAGAAGGCGATGCGTGCCGACTTGCCCAGGAGCTCCGTACCTGAGGCAGAAAACGAACACAACCGTTGCCCAACACCCTGTGACCTCACCTTCCACCTATTGTCATGGCCCATATATTCAGTCCAGTACTGGCCGCGCTGAGCCACAGACAGCGGGCGCAGGGCCGGACAGAGTTCGTGCTCGACAGGCTCGTCTGGCTGACTGTAGCTACATGTGAAGAGGCTGTGCACTGTCCCCTGGAATGCTGCAGCAGAAATGTTTGCTCAGACTGGAGTGTCCCTAAGTGTTGCACTGGTGAGTCAATATTTGCACTGAGAACCTGGTCAGTTTTCTCATATTTTTTTCCCATTGTTGCCCGAAAAACATTCGGAGCTTTAACAGCAACAGAAAATCAATTATTTGCAGAGTTAATACTAATTCAGCAACATTTTGTCTCTTGGTTTTCACAAGTCCATTTTCCTTGGAAGAGCTACACACTCCTACCTCAGCATTATTCTGGATATCAGCAGAAGAGGATCTTTAAGGCATCCCACCAAAACCAAGGAGATCTGTGTCTACTCATCTGTTGCAGGTTGCAGGATTATGTATCACATGCAAGATTTTGCTGTTATTTTTAATGAAATGCAGAACCACAATCAAGAGGGAGTTTATTATGAACTCAAACTGCAGAAAAAACAACCTCGTAGCCGAAGCCCCCTCCCAGAGCCCAATATACCTAAGACAAAAGCCGCAACGTAATTAGAAATCTGTCCGATTCCAACAATGAAGAAGAGAATGCAGAACATCTCCCAGCTGGTGGAGGCGATTTGTATCAGACTGAACACAGTCTGCAACGCCATGGTGATGAAGAGAATGACTTTCCTGCCATACCTGAAAAAGAAGATACACAGAAACATTTACAGAAGCATGCAGCTTTGAGGGCTTGGACTAGGAATGTAACTCAAAGGAAAACTCCACAGTCCGTCTACAACATATGCAACTGAAGCCTATTTTTTAAACAGTCAAATCAAAGTTTCTGCAGTTGTCCAATCTTCAACAGAAAAGGTAAAGACTCATAAAACAGACTTTTTTTTCAACCAATAAAAATACAGATAATTTGTTTTTTTTCTCTCTCTTTGTCAGAGCAAAGGTGTTTGGTTGGGTTGGTTGTGGATATAAATTTTATGTTCTTTGCACTTCTGAAAAGAAGATTTACGGATGGGGGGATGTCTGATGTTGCCTAACTGTGTTTACAGACAATCAATCAGTCAATCAGAATAATGCAGATTCTGCACATGTGATCACTTAAACCACATTAGCCTTCACCAGGGAAGAGTATCACCTCCAGTGATTTGCTGCAGACGCACCTGTCTGAGATTTGGCCGGACATGAAGGAGCCCATCAACACCCCCATGAAGAAGACGGAGAGACTGAATGGCACCTTCCAGCCCTCTTCACACACTAGATTCCACTGGCGGGAGCAAAAACCCAGAACACACAAAACTCAAAACACACGGAACCAATTACACCTCCCTCTGAGGAGCTATTTCAGCCATTTCTAAACAGACCGGGTTCACGCTTGACGTCACGTTTCATGTAACTAAAGCAGAAACGCGTCCTGATACATTGTAAGGAAAACAGCCAGCGTATTGTAACTGAGGGAATCATGAGAAATGTATTATTGAGACAGGTGTATAATGAAAGGGTAAATTTACTCATTGACAACTGTCTATTTAAAATTCCCTTTCACAACTGCATGGGATACAGAATTACAATAAATCATTCACGAGTTACAACCGTGCTCATTTTCATTTTTTTGAAACACACCCTCACGATTTCTTTACCACAGCCTTTTTTTGTAAAACAAAAATGTTCTGGAACACCTTTCTCCTGCTTACATAAAACATGGCTCAACTAAGTTTCTCCAGACATGGATACCCGAACACTAAATGCCATCCTGATGAAGGATAAAAAGATGCAAATAATCTGAATTTTTTTAATGTTCCGCAATTGTAAGAGCTGGGAAGGCAAGAACGAAAGACAGGATGTTTTCCACCGCTCCCTTACTTGACCCATGTTGTGAAGAGGCTAGATTAAGGAGAATATCTCAGTAATTTTAAAAATATAAAAAAGATACCAGCAGTAACCACTGTCAAGCCTCAAGGGGCTGAGTTCCTGAGGGACATGGACACCGACTTTTTTCTGAAGCTTTTCCCCCCTGCCCAAGATGGCGGCACACAGATCACAGTCATTTTGACAGGGCAGCAGCAATCACTGCTGCAGGCATCGGCTAAGCATCCTTCTCCAGACAGGATAAATGGAGGGCCAAGCAGGGAACGAATTAGTGATGACCAGCATGAAGGAAACTAAATTCAAAAGAAATTCCCACCTTTGTGGCCTTCTGACTGCCCAGTGATGACTCTGAAGTCACTGCCCAACCTACCACTTTATCCTGTGATCTGAAGAGCTCTCTTGAGAAAATGGATCAGACAAGGGTGCATCTGGGACCTGGGAAAAAACTGTCTCATTTGATTTAATTAGTCCTTACTAATAATATTTATCACTCAGCTGTTTTTCCGTCTCATGCTACACCCAGTGAGTGTCATGACACAACACAAAATGTTAGCAATTATGCAAAATAATTAGCTATGGCAGAGACTACAGCAAATGTTACTAATATGGTACAATTAAAGCACAAGGCACCAACTTCCCATCAGCTGCCAGATTAATAATAATAATAATAATTGCTTACACTTATATAGCGCTTTTCTGGACACTCCACTCAAAGCGCTTTACAGGTAATGGGGATCCCCCTCCACCACCACCAATGTGCAGCATCCACCTGGATGATGCGACGGCAGCCATAGTGCGCCAGAACGCTCACCACACATCAGCTATCAGTGGGGAGGACAGCAGAGTAATGTAGCCAATTCATAGAAGGGGATTATTAGGAGGCCATGATTGGTAAGGGCCAATGGGAAATTTGGCCAGGACACCGGGGTTACACCCCTACTCTTTTCGAGAAGCACCCTGGGATTTTTAATGACCACTGATTACTGAACTCCACCCCTACCCCTGGCTCACACTGATGTGTTTTTTTCTCACACTGTTTGTCTGGCTTTTGTTGTATGTTATTTAACTTGTTGTTGCTGCTGCTGCTGCTCTGTGTTTATTTTTTTGGTGATTCCTTTAATATATTTGTTTTGGAGCAAACATGCAAATAAGCACTTCATTGCCCTTGTGCATATGACAAATAAAATGAACTGAACTATTACGATTTCTAAGACAGAACCTTTCTCTTTTCCCAACCTATATTTAATGACACAAATTATCTGTAATACTATCAGGATGAACGTCATCAGATTTCTCCACCTCTTAATTCACATACCGCCACACCCCCAACTTCATCTTACCACAAGTGAGTCTAATTGCTATTTCTTTTTCAGTTTCTCCTCCTAATTTTGGTCAAAAGCTCTTTCAGGGCTGACTGATAGACTGACACCTGTCACTAGTCTGATATGTGTATATCATATCTGGAGTACACCGAAGTAAAATACTTTTTCAGGACAGAGCTCAATACCGATGATGTCATACCCCTTGGGACTTTCATGGTTTGAATTCTACAACAGCAGGAGGCCCTGCCTTTTGGCATAGGGGAACATCCCTTCCTTGGCCTTCAGCTTCTGTGATCGAATCCTTGCAGTGGCCTTGGCCACACTGGTCACGCCGACACAGAGGAGGTTCCTGCCATTCCAAAAGAGCAATTTGCCTGATAACATACCACATGTCCTTTATGGCTTATGGAAATTGCATTTTAATTACTGCTGCTGAAATTTGCATCTGTTTTATTGGGGCCTTTGAATCTTGGCTTAGCTTTATTAAGCGTAACGTCACGATTTTCGATCCACTGGAAGAACAAAAAAGGCTTAAAATATGCTTTGGAAAAGGCATTTTTAAATATACGAACACGAATGGGTTAATCAGCCCTTTGCCTAAACATTGTTGCTGAAGTTGAAAACGTATTGATGTTTGAATGCTACTCCATGTTCTCTACAAGCACATCACTAATAGACCTGGGAATAACATGTCATGGCTTTGATTTACAGTAACGTGCCTTTACAATGGCCATCTGGTGGAAGGTGAAATTTCCTCAGCAAGGTTAGAAGATCAGAAAGTGTTTTATCCAGGTGGATGCTGCACACTGGTGGTGGTGGAAGGAGTCCCCATTACCTGTAAAGCGCTTTGAGTGGAGTGTCCAGAAAAGCGCTATATAAGTGTAAGCAATTATTATTATTATTATTATTATTATCATATGTCAAATGCTTCCCATTTTAACAGGTCTGTTCCTCATACTGTATAAGGCCTGAAGGAGGAAGTGGGGGAAAATTCTGTTGCCCAGAAAGTGAAAAGGCCATTACCCCATACCATGAAGACAGATGAAGTATAAAAATAAAACTTACTCACAGAATGACAGGGGGTCATCTACGCAATTCCAGGAAGGCAACATGAACACCTCTTGTAATTACGCGCTGTAATTCCACACAAACCCCTCTGTCATTCTGCTTCTAGAGCGTATATATTAAAAAACCTCACAGCTAAGGCAGGGATAGAAAATATTTTCATTCGATTATTAAAATCTGTGCCCTAGTGAATTGCCAATTACGGACAATTCAAATATCAAAAGAAAAATGCGCTCATGCTTCAACCTACAATAGGTGACAACCTAACACATTTGTCTAGCCTATAAACACGTTCTTCCTGATGAGTCGTGTATAATTTATTTGAAACTTGGCAAGTATAACCCGTAATTAGACCTATTTTGCCACACAGCATTACCTCCTGTGATGTAATGACAGATATTTTTTCAGATTTGACATCTATTCAATACAATTTCACTGCGGGAAAAAAAAGAAAACTTTCTGCTCGTGAATGTGTGATAACATAACATGTATGACATTCAAATTAATTTAATACAACCTTTCCTTTATGTTTGAAACGTCCGCGATAAATCCGAAATACTGGCAATCAAAAAACGCGTCTGCGTCAACATCCGTGGTTGTGCGTGTGTGTGTGTGTGTTTTTTTAGCAGCCCCAATGGGCTTCATACAAAAAAGACATAACAACGTCAACACACACACAAAAAAAATAAAAAATAAACATAACGGAATTATAACACGGACCAGGAGAAAACGAACAACAGATCAACGAGAAGGAAACAAAAGAGTACCCATGGTTTAGCCGAAATCTCTTGACCTCTAACCAAGCAGGGCAGCGGTAAATCCCGCAAGCGATCCAGAAGGCGCAGTAAAAAATAAATCGCCAGTCTCACCTCTGTCACTATAGTGGAGGTGTATCTTTCTGTGCTGAACTCCCAGCCGTCAATACAGCCTTCAGTGTTGTTTCCTATACCCGCTCCGGGGCCGCCGGGCACTTTGTAGCGAGAGCACCTGCTGTAGCGCAGCTCTCCGTTCACCGATTCCACCGGCAGGGACCGGTTCAGGTCCACGACCACGGGGGTGCCATTGCTGGGGGCCACCGTGCAGTGGTGCGGCGGGGTGTCCGAGATGAACACCATGGCCAGCCCGGCGTAACCGTTTGGGACCGTGCTGAGGCTGAGCAGGATGAACACGCTCTTCTGGAAGGGACCCCATTCCCCCAGGAAAGAAGTGATTTCGTCATAGTCTCTCATGGCCGTTGAAATAAATAAATAAAAAAAACAACTAAACTAAACAAACGGAAAACTCCAAAAGGAAAACGATGCTGTATCTTCTTCTTCAAGCGATGCAAGGCTTGAAATAAAATATCAAGTACCTTACCCGAGGCGCAAAGCACACCTAATTATCCTGTTTTACGACAAAAGCCGAATTACATTTATTGGCTAAACAGTTTCCCCCCCGTTACTTTCTTCCTCTCCGATCTTTACAATATTTGCAATTAAACAAGTTTGAAGTATTGGGGTCGGGGAATGCTGAAGAAATTCCTCCTTTTCTATCAATGCCCGTACACTCTCAGCTGAGCTGGCTGCCCTGTAGTCCAGACTCACTCAGGTCCAAGGAAATTCGGCGCATAATTTTATTGAACACGCCTCTGCATTAGTCACCAGAGAAGAAACTTATGAAACAGATCTGAAAACTAAACATGGCGCCACACACGATTGCTAGACAAGGTACTGTACTGTATGTGCACTATATCATCATCACCATCATCATCATCATCATCATGTTGATATACAGTGTAGGGGTGTTTTTTAAACGTTTTATTTGTAAGTCTGCGCACGTTTTTGAGAGATGCAGAGGGGGTGCAGAGACATTGCTTCACTCCTGCCACTGGGATGATGAGAACTAAAAATGATTTCGATTTTTAGGAAGAGAGTCGGTGATTTTATGTACGCTTCCAGTCTGACTTATTACCAGTACCATAGATTTTAACCATCATACATATATTTACTCCAAGCTGACTTTTTTTTAACCTTTACAGCTTCCTGTTGTTGAACGTTGTTTCATTACTCTCCTTTGTAGAAACATGCTTTAAAATTAAAAATAAAATCCCTGAAGCACAAAAAAGGGAGCAGTGTAGTAGCGCTTTATCTTTCAGTAATGAACTTCATGGTATCAAGACGTTCCCGTCTGGTTTCCAAACTCTTTATCAGGAGCGCCTCCCCTCAGCCTGTCTGTTCTGCTTGCAAAGACTCGTTCAGGGCAGCTCTGGAGGTGGCACCAGTCATGGCCTGCCAACACGGGCATTAGCAGTATTAAAACAATACTAGTATTTGAAAAGACTCTTCTTCCCCCCGGAAAACATTAATTTCTTCCGTTTCTCTGATTTTTTTTTTAACAAAAGCAGGCTGTATAGGGAATATAACTGTTAGAAAATCAACAGAAAATCATACTATTCATTTTTGCATAATTAACACCCATAAAAAGGGAACCGTTTTAAATGAGGTGTCAATCAATCGATCGAGGTTTATTTATCAATGCAGGAACAGGACAGCATACAGCGGAGTTCTCGGCATTGTCCGTGAGCTCGTTAAGACGGACAGAAGAGCAGAAGGACAGGAATTTATAGGGATTAGATTAACGAAAAAAATTAGGATACAATAAATGACACAATTGCAAATTACAATACACTTGACAGATTGCGCGAAAGTAACACAAGGATAGGAGGTTATTTAGCGCTCTCCGTACAGTCTGTGTCCCGAGAGTACAGGAGTTGCAGGCGTCTGCTGTGGTTGGCTGTTGAGCAGTCTTACTGCCTGAAGGAAGAGGCTGTTACGAAGCCTGGTGTCTTGGGCTGTATACTTCGGGACCGTTTTCCGGGTGGTAGCAGAGAGGACAAGCGCACAGCTCATATGTCCCGGAACGGGCGTGTGGAATGTCGTCTTTGTCTTCACTGCGCTTGGACAAGGGATTGTACTGGATGCTGGGTGTGTTCAAATCCGACATTTTAAAAAAAAAAAAAGTAAATGAAGTAGGCAGTGCGGGGGCCGTCCGTTCCCATGGGCTCAAAGTCAGGTCTCTTCAATCGCCATTGTTTTTGAGTTCTCTCTAAACGGCCAACACCTTAAGAACATTCTTGGAAACCATGTTATAGATACAGTGGATATAAAAAGTCTACACACCCTTATTGTTGTAGGTTTTTTAATTGCAATTATTTTCCCTAATAATTATCTACCGTATGTGTCTCTCTCTTGAATTGTGATGGTTGCAAGGTCACATTAAAGATGGGAAAAATGTCTGACATGATTTATATTGATTTCTGGCTTTACATCACAAAAACCTGCAATTTCAATAAGAGTGTGGAGACGTTTTATATCCACTGTATCTAAGGCAATAACTAGTGTAATAAGTTATGAATGAGATGGAATGAAGAGCTGCAGACACAGCAATGCCCCAGGGCCTTGTCTCTTGATGCAGGCTTAATTTTACCAGAGAGGTGGATGTTCATACTGTACATGTTCATTTTGTGTTGGTGATTCTCCAGCATGCTGTAGGTTCTGCAGTAATCTGGGGCAGAGTTGGCTGACAATTTAAAATCCTTGTATTAGATCCTGAACAACGTTCAGGACATTTTTTCATCACGAGCAGCAGAATAGAGAAGCCTGACAGTTTTTGTCAATGATGTTGTGATCAAAAACTTAATGGGGGTGGGTGCTGGGGATCTTATGCAAGACATACAAAACAAAAAGATGCATAAACATTAAGCTGTAACCTGCAATGTGGAAGAATGGTATTTTAAAAGAAAGCTTGCTTGCGCATTCAGTCACTAGACACAGAGGGTTTGTTCTCAATCCACTCAGATCTGAAATAACTAAAGAGACTTTTCTATGTTCTCCTCAAAACGGAAACTTTCTTCTGATTTAGTGTTTATCGTGTTCGGGAGTTCTGAAATTGTAATGACTACAAATTAAAATGTCCCTTTCTGCACACTTCCCTTGCACTCAAAAAACATTCATGCTATATTCTAAGAATAAACTGAAAGCTCAGAAGCAAACTACAACAAAACCATTTAATAACGTGAAATTTAATAATTCATGCCAAATACCAGTGGACATACAAGTGTTACTGTACAGATTAACACAGAAGTAAGCCTACAAAGCACCCACTCTTTGTTAACAAAACACGAGCAGTGATCCTTTTAAAATGATGTCTAAGAAGCCGGACTCAGCTGCAGTAATTGTGTCTGAGAAAGCCTACTAGACTGCAATTGAAAAGAAAAATTACAAAAATATTTTAATTCACATCCCATCACGCACACACTGAATGACAGAAAAAAAAAGAGATTTACTTAAATCCAGTTCTCGATCATTGAAAAAGAGATATCTGCTTAACATCTTCCTCAAATTCGAAGACACGTCTAGAACTGGATGTGCATAATATCCCACATTTGTACACCTTCAGTTCTCTTAACTAATCAAGCCGCGGCAATGAAGGAGTCATCAGCTTGTCGTCCTTGTGGCTAAAAAAAGCAAGAAGACAAATCAACACAAAACACCGACATTACTAACATGTTCTATGCCTATTTAGTACTTGAGAACAAAACACTCATTTTGTCCGGATATTGGGGATGGTTAGCATACGTGGCAATGAGCACTAAACACACACGCGGGATCATATTTCACAGGACGGATCTCCGAAACACATTGGAAACTCTCATCGAAATATTCTGTTAGGCTAAAAAAAAAAAAGAACTTGTAAATGGGCTGGACTGGCAGATCTCTTAAAAATGGGAAAGGAAGATTTTTAGAACAAGCTAACAAATACAAATCTGAATTATGCAGGAGATGTGGATTACTGCAGAGTTTCATTAACATGCTCTTAGACACGATACTGTATACATATTACTGTACATTCCCAAAATGCCCTTAAATAATTAAACATGAAATAATCCCACAACAACAAAAAGTGCCAATAAAGCATATTTTAGATAAGTATACCGTAAGAACCAATTAACTGAAGAGGTACATTTATCTAGATGACCACTGAGCACAATAACATTTAATTTCTCTAAATTACGTCTTATTTGTTAAATCGTATTTTGCTATGAAGAAGGCTTTAAAAAGGATGCTGGCTTCTGCGTGTGATGGCTTGACTCAGTGGATGATACGTTCAGGGGGCAAAGTATCAACACAAGGAAAAAGCAGGTAGAATTATGTTGTAGGAGGTACCTAAACAGATCAGGACTGTATTTTAAGACCTTGTTGTGAGCCTTTCTGAACTATGCGCAGGGTTTAGGCTCATGCTGGGACAGACGGACAGATGGAAGATGATTCCCGATGCGACCGATTCCATAAATAACAGCGAGCGGGCCCGGCTGTCATGGAGTAAAGTCAACCCCCCCTCCTCCCCCCCCCGGGGGGGGACCTTTTCATACCTTGACGAAGATGCGAGCGGGCAGGAAGCGGCGCAGGAGCTGGCTGGTGAACCCTGGGAAACGCACCAGGTTGATGTTGAGCAGGGGCAGGTTCTGGTACCCGGCCATGAGAGGGTAGAAGTTATACAGCATCTCCTGCTCGGCGCCAGGCAGAATCCGCAGTCGCACCTGGAAGCGACACCCCAGATTACACACTCCGTCCCCACCCTGTGCCGTCAAGCGTCCGAGCCACCCAGGAAGTGCTCACAGCCCCCTCCAGGACCGACAGCGTGAAGCAATTCCGCGTTCTTCCACGCAACCGCCTCTAGGAAACCGATTTAGAAAACGCAAGGAGAAATCATTTTGTGGTTTTATAGGTGCTCCGTGACGAAGCACATCGTGCCAATGCTGTTCTGCGTTGCAGAAATGTCAGCTGTAAAAGTGGAAGGAGGCGTCAAAGCTGAACTGCGTAAAACAGCAGTGAAACACTACACCTGACGAGGTTTTTTTAAATAGCCTGTTTGCCAAGCTCTTAAAATGTTTAGGTTGTCTTGCCATTTCTTAAACCGGATAGCATTCTGCCACTCTCTTTCCCACCCCCAGCCGTGATAAAAGACGATTTTAAATTCATAACAGCTTAGCAGCTGGAGTTAAGGGCCTTGCTCAGGGGCCCAACGGAGTAGGATTCCTCTGCCAGCTGCGGAGTTCGAACCGGCAACCTTCCAGCCACAGGAGCAGATCCTTAGCCACAGAGCCACCACTATAAATGATACAGACACCACTAGCCGAGCAGTGACGAGGCCTAGGAGCATCTTTAAGGGGAGGGGACCAGAGCGGATTCAGTGCGGCAGGCCGAGCCGCAGCAGGTGGCCGTGGAC